CCCCCCCCCCCGCCCGCCCTTAAACGCTGCAGTCCCAGAGCGGAGGAAAGGCCAAGATCCTTTCAAAAGTAAAAAAAACCCGGTCCGACTTCAGGGGCATATCCAGTGGTGGGATTCAGCCAGTTGGCACCAATTCAGGAGAAACCGGTTGTTAATGTTCTGAGCATTTGGGTGAACTGGCTGTTGGAAGAAATCATTAGGGTGGACAACCGGCTGTCCAATTATTTGAATCCCACCCCTGGGCACATCCCAGCTTTGGAAGTCTTCTTGTGGGGGTGTTTTGGTTGAGATCCTACATTTTGCAGGTCTCCTGGTGGCCTCCTTTCCAAAGCCTGAGCCTGCTTAGCTTTTAGAGGTCAGAAGCCAAGTTTCTTTTAGAACAGAAACAGCCAGCAAAGGGAAGGGCGAGGCAGAGACCCGGATTAAGCCTGTCATTCGGGCGAACAAATCGATGCCTTCAGGGACAGCGAGAATGTCCTGCTGGTGCCTCGGTGCAAAAAAGCCGCTCGCTTCATGCAGGCCCCGGGCAAGGACAGAATCAGGGTGACCCAAAGCTTAAGGCCGTGCAGAAAAGCGGAACTGCACTGAATCCTCTGGCTTGGAAGGCTTAGCCCAGGATGCAGGGAAGACCCCCACCCCCCAGAGGAAAAGTTGCTCCCCTCCGTTTTCTTCCGAGGGGCCGCGGTGCACGTGTCTGCCTTCATCCCGGATCCCGAGGACGTTCCTACCTCTCGCCAGAGCGCCGAGGTCCTTCTCGCCCAACGGAGTCCCAGTGACGTCGAGGATGGTCACTTCCTCCCCTAGAAGGAGAGAAATCCCGAAATTCGGTCCCGCCCTGCGTCCCTGTCCCGCTTCTCTCTCCCACTGCCCCCCCTGCCCCCGCGAGGGACCAAACCGCTTTGGGAGGGACAGGACAGGACAGGAACTCCCTGGAGGGGGGGGCGCAGGGCCGGGAGGGGCCACCAGCGCCCTTTGCCTCCCCAGGGCTCCGCCGAGGAAAAGGCTGCAGTTTCACTTGAAATGTAGTATGGATCCCTTCACGTTGGATAGGATAGGGTGTCATTAGCCTAGGCCTCCCCCCCCCCTTGTCCCCTCCACCAAGGCGGCCTAATGACTCCTGGAGAACCGAATTCTGCCTTTATTTTGCATTCTCTCCTTCAGCTTTGCATACAGTGGTTTCGGCTAAGAGGTGCTTAAATTTGACTCTTTCGTTTTGCTGGAGCCTATGAAAGGAATGTGACCCTTTCTGGAGTCTCAAGAGCTGCAGATTCAGTGACACCTGTCAGAACAAATCGCCCTTCATGCTATTTCAGCTCCCTGCCCGCCCAAAATCTGCTGCGGGACTGGATTTTCCTTCCTGCCACGACCGGATGGGAGGAGGCTCCGGAGGATGAGGGCAATCTGGCCAGAGCGCCCTTGAGCCCCGGGATTTCGCCTCTCAGGCAGCCCAGGGACCTCGCAGGAGGGAAGGCTCCGAATTCAAGGAGCAGGTAAGGAGCGTCGGGCCTTCCAAGGAAAACCGCGCGTAGGGATGGCTCGGCCGCAGCGCGCATCCAGGACTCCTCTGCTGCCCAAGGGCGCAAAGCTCCCGGGGAAGAAGGGAACTTGCTTGGCTAAGGAAGGTGCGGAAGGCCCCGGTGGCAGCAGAGGCGGCCGACCAAGACCACGAGGAAGGCCAGTGGCCGTCCCCCCCCCCTGTCCCCCGCAGCCGCCCCGGGTCTCTTGGGTGCCTCAAGAGCAGAGAACTGGCTTCCTTCAAGGAAGGCGCTGCTGGGAAACCCCAACTTGAATCCAAGGCCGCTCCTGCCCTCCACATCTGGCGGGGGGTGGCTCGAAACTGGGCCGCCGGAAGGATGAAGCAGCGAGGTGGGTAGCAGGAGGCCCTGCCCAGAGATCTCCTGCCAGCCACCTGGTTTGACTCAGCAGAGCCTTGCCCCCCTCACCCCCAGCTGAATTGAAACGGAGGGTGGAAGATGGCCTGTCTCGAAAATGGGCGGCCGTTTTGTCTGACGGAACCGGTGCCGAAGGGCTGAGTCTCTCCAGGATAAAACCCTCCAGTTCTCTCCTCTCTCTCTCCCCCCCCTCTCCCCTCCCCCTCCACCCCCAAAAGGCCAAACACAGCATCCTGGCTGCGGTCCAAGCCCCGCGGACCACCAAGTGCTACGATCCAGGGCATTTTGGGCGGTCAATAGGACGATTCCGATCCTGTGACAACTACATCTCCCACCATTCCCCGGCAGCGTAGACCATGAAACTGGCAGTCCTTTCATATCCCCGGGAACCCCCCTCCTCGCCTCCCCTCGCCCTTTTACACCCGGACACACGGCCGCGAGCCCTTAAGCAGAGTTTCCTTCCCAGGAAGGAGCTGTCTGTCCTCCCTCCAGCCGGAACACGGGTGTCAGGCTGCAGCAGAGGCTCCGTGGACTCTTGGGGCCAGGCCTCGGGGGTCCGGGGGCGTTGGGAGGCTGAATTCGAAGGGCCCGCTTGCCTGCACTGAACTGAACCTGGGTTTCTATTTTCACTTAACTCCGTTTCTTGGCTGCAGCCCACCGAGCCTTTGCCACAACACCTGCTCAGCCTTCCTTGCCTCCTCGGCTGCTCTTCTCGGCGTTTCTGCCCGCCCATCGGGGTCAACCTGGCCTTTTGCAACGGCAGCCTCCCCCCCCCCGCCCCGCCAAGAGCTGACCAGGCCCCCTCCCCTTTACCTCTCTCGGCCTGAGTCGGGCTGGGCTGCGAGACGTTGCTCTGCTTCGGGGAGCGTTTCTTGCTCTCCAGCTCCTCTTCGGCCGAGGGCACGTCTTCGTGGTCGGGGTCTTAGGGCCAAGGAAGCGCTTTTCAGGACACGGAGCTCGGCCGGAGCCCGCCTCAGCCACAGCAGGTAGACCAAGCCCTTAGGAAGGGACTCCCCACTGCCCTGGGAAGCAGGTTGGCCCGCTTCGCCATCCTCCCCATAAGCCACGTCCGGCCTGCCCCGAACAGAGGGGAGCGCTTGGGGAATTCGGGTTAAGGTCCGGGCCGGCAAGATTAGTAGCTGGGGGTGGGTGGCGCCCCCTCCCCTTAAAATCAAGGCAAAGGAAAGAAAAACTCATCCCCGACGACCAGAATTGGGAAAACCTCACAGGCCACGGCGGTGGGGGAGGGCAGAGGCCTGAAAGGCGCCCCCCCCCACTTCTCAACTCCAGCGGGAAGCCCATTGAGGGTGGAAGCCCCCTTGGAAGAGGCCTGGGGTCCAGACCTAGGGCGGGGGGGGGCTTCCCTTAGCAGCGCCGTTTCCCCCGTCCCGCCCAGCCCCGACCTCTCTCTTTCGTGCGGCTGATTCGTACCGTTTGTGTCTGGGGCGCAGGGATAGGGCGTGATGGGTGGGCCCAGGGAGACCCCGGCTTTGAGCGCCTGCGGACAATCGTCCCTCCCCGAAGGATAGGCCTGCGAAGGAAAAGACAGAAAGAGAGTTGGGCTCCACACGCCACGATGGACTGACTGAGCGAGCCCTCAGAATTGACCTCTGCTTCCCAGGAGTCGTGGCTCTCTGGCGGAGGAAAAATCCCACCCGTGGCCGAGAATCCAAGAATGCAATAAAACGAATTCAGAGGACAAATTGGAGGCTGATTCCGCTTTGCCTCGGGGCCATTTCCCGTCGTTCCGTGGAAAGAAAAACGCACCGACCTTCCATGTCCTTTGGGGCAGGGTGGATTAGTGAGGGAAAGGCCCGACTTAATTTTATAGAAAAAAACAAAGGTTTTTCCCGGTTCGAAAGGAATCTCAAACCGAAGAGCTCCTTCAACGTTAAAAGCCTCCGTGTCCTTTGAAGGCTTATTAAGTGACCGCCACTACCGACCCCGGGAAGCGAATTTCAATCCGCTCCGAGCTAAGACCCAGCCTTACACTCTCTCTTCCTCCTTAGTTCTACTGACCGGACTCCAAATTTCCCCCGTTCCTTCAAATGCGAACAGCGGGAAATTCGATGGACATACAAATTCGAAGCTGATCCTCTTGTGGAAAGGGGCTGGGATAGCTACGCTTTGGGTGCCAAACCACTGGGAGAGACGGCCAGAACGAAGCGAAGGGAAAGGAAGGAGCCCCTGTTCCAATACAGGGAGAACTTTCACTCTCTCTCTCTCTCTCTCACACACACACACACCCTGTGGTGGGCAGGCCCCGAAGGGAGCGAGCCTTTTTTTAATGCCCCCATTTGTTGGCTGGGCTGCAAACAGCCCAATGGATCGGGCGCTGCTTTCGCCCTGCCCTCCCGAGCCTGCTTGGGCGTTCCCTGCTCCCTTCTCCTCCTTCGGCTACTCCTGGCCTAACTCCCCGGTAGGCTTTGGAACGGGTCCCCCGGCCGACTTCCAGGCCTCCATTTTCTTCTGCGGGGCAAGGCGATTAAAAAAAGCAACGGCGTTTTAAAGAGCGGCTGAGGTGGGGTGGGTGGAAGAGCCGGTTTGCAGCGAGGTCTTCCCGGGCGAGCTCACGGCGGCCTCCTTCTCTGCCCCCAACCCAGATTCCCGAGGCCGGCGGGGGGTCTGGAGCTGTTCGTGGTGCTGATACAATAAACTCGCCCGTTTAATTCTGCGGGGCCCGGTGGGGGAAGTCGGAGGCGCCCGCGGCTGGTTTCTCCTTGGCCTCAAACCCTCGCTAGAAAAACCGTGTTGGCGTGGTGGCCAAGGCACCGGGCTGCCAACTAGGAGACCCTGAGTCCTGCCTTGGGCGGGGTGACCTTAGACCAGTCGCTTGGCCCCAAGAAGGAGGTCATGGCAAAACAACAACCCAAAAAACTCGCTTTAAAAATTGGCCAAGAAAACTGCAGGGATTTGTCTCAGAAGTCAACACTGACTCGACACACACAAACGCACACACACACACACCGTATTCTGGGCCCGGCAGGTATAGTGAGTGGCCTTGGAGGGAGGGGTGCCCCGTGTGATCTCGGCGTGGTGCCTCGACCCAGCCAAAGGAAGGACAACCCCCTCCTCTCTCCCGCAAAGGGCAGGGAAGGTAAACTAAGCGGGACAGGCCTGGCCGGGCCTCCCCCTGCCCCTTCCCCCCCCCCCCCCCCCCGCGCCCCAGCCTCCCCCCCCTCCTTCCCCCTCCCGCCCCCCCCCCGCCCTTCCCCGCAGAGCCTGCCCGACCCTCCTTCCCCAGCGTCCCTTTTGAGGGGATCAGGGCCTGCCTTTCCCCGCCTGGCCTCCCGCTTCCCCACGCACCTCGTAGCCAGCCCGGCTGCCGGTCCTCTCCGAGGGACGCTCCTCCGCTTCCGCCGCCTTCTCCGCCGTGGCCAGGCCTCCTCCTCCTCCTCCTCCGACCGGGGCTGCGGCCAGAGTCTCGTCCGCCTCGGGCAGGAGCAGCGGCGGGGGCGGCGGGGGCGGCTGCGGGGACTGCTGCGCGTCCGCCCCCGGCGCCTCGTCCTCCTCGTCTTCGTCCTCCGCGAAGCGGTTCGACTCCACGTCCACGTCGGGCTCTCCGGCCGTCTCGTTCCCGGGCGAGAGGGAGCGGTAGCTGGAGCTGCCCTCGCTGAGGAAGTCCGGGGAGATGTAGCCCCCGCAGCCCCGCGGCCCGGCGTAAACCTCCCGGGTGGTCCCGTAGAGTTTGGCGATGCTCTCGGCGTCCTTCACCACCGGGCGGAAGGCCGAGAGGTAGCTGCCCTTCCTGGGCAGCGGCAGGGGCGGCAGCAGGGCCTCGTCGCCCGAGCGCTCCTCCTCCCCGACGGCGGCTCTGGCGAGGGCGCTGGGGCAGCGCTCGGCCTCGGCGGCGCCGGAGCCCTCCTGCGGGGTGGCGCTGCTCCGCTCGCTGCCCGACGGCTCCGAGCCCTCCAGGTCCACGTGGGCCGGGACGCGCAGGCCCAGCGGTTCGGCGGCGGCGGCTGCAGCGGCGGCGGCGGCGGCGGCCACCACCACGGCGGTGGCGGCCGCTTTGGCTTGGCTCTGGGCGGGATAGGGCGGCACCGGGAGGCTCCCGGAGGCCGGCCAGAACATGGGGAAAGAGGGGTAGACGCCGCCCTCCTTGGCCGCCCCGCCGGGCTGCTGGGCCGGGTGCGGCGGGGGCGGGTGCGGCGGCGGCGGCTGGGGCGGCGGCGGGTGCGGCGGGGCCCAGAACATGCCCTGCGTCAGGGCGGCCGCCTTGCTGGGGTCGCCGCCGGGCCCGCCCAGGGCGTCCTCCTGCTTCTTGGGGCACAAGCCGAAGGCTGCAGCGGGGAAGCCGTAGGGCGGCGGGAAGAGCGGCGGCGGCAGCTTCTGCAGCATCCCGAACCCTTTGCTGGGCACCGGGATGACCGGGTAGCTGCGCACGGCGGCCGCGGCCGGGCCGTGCGCGAGGGCGGGCATGCCCAGCCCTGGCCGCTCCGCCCCGGGAGGCTCGTCGGCCCCGCCGCTGCAGCGCAGGCTCTTGTGCACCGGGGCCAGGTCGGCCGGGGAGGGCGGCGGCGGGTGCAGGGCGCTCTTGGCCGCCGAGGAGGAGGAGGAGGAGCCCCCGCCGCCGCCGCCCCCGCCGCCGTGCAAGGAGAAGGTCCGCTTGCGGGTGCCGCCGTTGAACATGGCCTTGACGTCCTCCCAGGCGTGGCTGAGGTCGTCGGTGGCGCCCTTGTCGCTGAGCTTGAGGTGGCGGCGCCAGGAGTTGAAGTTGGCGGCGTCGGGCTGCGTGTACTTGGCGTCGGGCGTGCGGTGCGAGTGGAAGATGAACTTGTTGGGCGAGAAGTACATGCTGCAGTAGCTGCACTTGATGCACTTGGCGCGCGAGCTGTTGTAGCGGGCCGGGATGAAGCTGCCCCGCGAGCCCCAGGCGCACTCGTGCACCACGTCGAAGGCGAAGTTCTCGGGCAGCTTGGGCGGCTTGTGCTCGCCCAGGAAGGACTTGCAGAGCCGCTCGGCCTCGCGCTTGGTGATCATGCCGCAGCGGCGCGAGGAGATGGGCATGGCGCCGGCTCGGCGCAGGATCTCCAGCTGCACCGGCGTGCACTGCACGCAGGTGATGCCCAGCGCCACCCGACGGTTGTGGATCTCATTGTAGCTGTAGTTCTTGAGCAGCGTGTTGGAGATCTGCGCCAGGCAGAGGCGCTCCTGGCCGTCGATGACCAGCGAGACGATGGGCACGCCGTAGAGCGAGGTCTCCCCGACCTGGTTGGGCTTCAGCGGGCTGGAGCCGGCGTAGGGCTGCAGCTCCTGCTTGGAGTGAGGGGAGGACGAGGAAGAGGACGAAGCTGAGGACGAGGAGGAGGAGCCAGACTCGCGCCCCGCTCCCAGCTGACTGGCGGCGGCGGCGGCCAGCGGCTCCATCTCTGCCGCAGGCGGCCGGACCCCTGCAAAGAAGCGGGAAGCGGGAGAGGCGCTGAGCGAGGCTCCGGCCGGCCGGCCGGACAAGGGGACCCCGGGGGCGGGGGGGGGGGGGGGGGGCGGCGGGGCGGGAGCAAAGGCCGGCCGACGCCTCCATCCTGGGCCGGGCCTGCCCTCCGCCTTCAGCGGAAGGGCCTCTGCCGCAGCCCAGGCCGCCCCCCCCTCCAGCCCCCCGGGGAGGCTGCCTCGGAAGCTGTCCGGGCGGCGAGCAAGGGGCGGAGGGGCCGGGGGGAGGCGTCCGCCCGCCTGAACCGAGCCTCGCGGCCGGGTTCCTTGGGGAAGCCGCCGGAGAAGCGCACCCACCCGCGCTCCCAAAGGCCCTCGCCTGGCTGCGGCGGCTCCCTTCCGCTTTCTTGCCCCCCTTTTTCAAAGGCGCATGAAAAACCGGACTAGCCTAAGCCCCGCGTTGGATTCAAGCAGCCCCCCCCACCCCATCATTGTTCGTGCGGGAGAAAGCGGGGGCTTCCCGGAGGGTTTCCACGCGCGGGGAGCTGTCCGGCGCCTTGTCGGCCGGAGGTGCCGGCGGCGCCCACCTGGACGGTCCCGCTGGGGCTGAAGAGCCGAAGATCCCGCTTTAACGCGGCGTAAGGCGCCTTCCACCCCCCCATCCCCGGGGTCCCTCCGGCTCCAGGGTCGCCCCGCGGCCGAGCCCAGTCCGGGCCCAACGGAGCCCCCGCCGCGGCGGTTCTCATCCCAGCCGGCAAACGGGGAGCCGATCCGGCGCTTTCCTTGCCTTCCCGGCCTCCCTCTCTCCTTTCTTCGGGACTTTCCCGTCTCTAAATCGGATGAAGCAGCCGGTCGGAGAGCGGGGGAGCCGCCGCGGCTTAATCCGTCCCCGCCGCTCCGCTTAATACCTTTCGGGAGACGCCAAAGCCGCCTTAAGCGCCACCGAAAGCCTCCTCCGGCAGCCCAGAGAACCGAGAGGCCGGGATTAAAGGCCGGCAGCTCTCGGGGAATTACGGGGAATCGGCCAAAGCTTCTGCCGCTCTCAAGCGGGGACCCGAACTTCCTTTCCTCCCCGCCGGCAGGAGCAGAGAAGCGCCGTCCAAAGCGCCGCCCCCCCGCCCCCCGTCCTCCTGCTCCAAACCTCCCCGCCAAGGCGCCCGAACCGAACGAACCCCGGGCAGGTTCCCCCCAGAAAGCCGATCCTAAGCGAGGGAGGCGCGCATGCAGGCGCGGTTGGGTGGGGGGCTGAGGCTGCTTCCAAGCGGATCTCTACGCCAAGAACACGACACGGCGCTGGATTCGGGTTGGGATCCTCCTCCTCCTCCTCCTCCTTCGGCCCCTTGGCCAAAGTGACCCCGCGCAGCCCCGGCCCCGCCGCGCCAAAGACGAAGCCCAGGTGCCCTCCTCAGGCGGGAGCAACGAAATCCAAGGAAACCCAACGGGCTCCGGCTAGGCGAGGCATCCTTAGAAAGGGGGGCAGGCGGCAAAACCTCCCCGAGCCCAGGGGAGGCTGTCTTGGCCGCCCGGGAGCGATTCCCGGATCCCCCGAAAGCTTCCCAGCGCAGAGCCGGGATCGCTCAGGGGCGAGGAAGGAGGGGACCCCCCCCCTCCCCAGCTGCGCCTGCCCGGGGCCCTGGCTTACCGGCGGCGGCGGCGGCGGGGCGGGGGGGACCCTCCTTCTCACTGGCCCAGATCCCCAGGCGAGCCCGGCGGAGGCGCGAGGACGGAGGCTCCGGCCGCGGCGGCCACTTTCATGGAGCTTCTTCCCGGCGGTGTCCCGCCTGTCGCCTCCGTCCGCGGCTTTGGCGAGGCGGGCGGGCGGTTGACCGCATGGCTCGGCTTTAAAAAAAGGAAAAAAAAGAAGGAGGGGGCAGAAAGGCAGGAGGGCGGGGGGGAAGAGGCGGAGGCGGAGGCGGGCGGGTCCCAGCCTTCGTCGGTGCCGCTGCTCCCTCGGATCCGCCGGCAGCGCAACTCTGAGCCAGGCGGGCGGGCAACACCCACTTAGCACCGTTGCGCGAAACGCCGCCGGGACGCCTGTCAATCATCCGGCGGGCAGTCAATCCAAAGGCAGATGGGCTTCCTTAAGAAAAGACGGATTGCTGGCGGGAGGAGGGGCAGTACCGGGGGTGGGGGAGGAGACGGAGGAGGAGGAGGAAGAGGAGGAGGAGGAAGCGCGCAGCAAGGAGCCGCCGGCAGCGAGAAGGTAAGGGTCCCCGCCGGCTGCCCACCTTAGCTGGGCCCACTGAAGGAGCCTCGACCCAGCCCGTCTCTCTCTCTCTCTCTCTCTCTCTCTCTCACACACACACACACACAAACACACACACACCCTGCCCGGGATCGAACACGCGAAGCTTCCTCTGCTCCCTGCCTCCAGGTCGGGGCCTTTCTTAAAGGGCAAGAGGCGGGAAAGGAGGGCTCGGGGAAGTCGGTGGACGGAGGGGCGATTAATTCCGCATCCCCCCACACAAAATAGCCAATTTCTACAACCCCGGCCCCGCCGTCTCGGCGGTGTTGCAAGTGAAAATATGGGGAGGGGGCAATGAAAGCGGGGGGGGGAGTCCAACAAGGGGGGAGGAGGGCAAAAAGCAAGACTGGCTTCTCTGGGGCTCCGGCGGGATTCGGTTCACCTTCACCGTTTTCTCCCCTCCTTTTTATACAGGCGATTTCTCGGGGGTCTGGAGCGAGGGGTGGGGTGGGGGGCGGCCTGGTCGGGAGTTCAGCTGAGGACTAGTTGCAGGGCGACCCAAACGAACGGGGTGTGTGTGTGGGGGGGGTCTGGCAGGTTGCTGGCAGCTTCATATTTGGGGGGCAGCTTTAAAAAAGGGGGCCATTTGCTATTTTCCCCCGTAAGCAAAGCCCCGGGAGGGGAAGGTCTTCGTAGATCCCCGGGATCTGGGTGAAAGAAATCCCTCCCCTTCCCTAGAATGGCGTGGGATCCGTTTCCCCTTCCCCGCGTGGCTCAGCCGTGGAGCTCGGCAGGGAAAGCAAAGCGGGTACCGCGTTGAAAGCAGCGAGTCCAAAGCGCCGGCCTGTCCCTCTCCCGTCGCCGGGGAGAGCCGCCTCTTTCACCGGGATGGGGGCGTGGGGGGAGCGAGGGGGGAAGTAAACAATGAATAATCATCGAATTCTCCAAAAATCCCTCCGTGGACCTGCTTGAAAAACACGCAAAAGCAGCCAGGCGCCGGCCGGCTCGCTGATAGAAGCCGCTCGGCTTTCTTTCCACAGCTGGGTAACACCTGGCCGTGAGAACAACTCAAAGGACCCCGTAAGAGCCAACACCTTGGGGGACCCCTTAAGGGACCCCCGGCAGCCTCTGATGCAAATCCAAGGTCAGGGGCACCGGAGGAGAGATGCCATTTGGGGGAAAGAGGCTCCCCCAAAGGGCTCCCTCCTGGCTTCGATGCCCCCCGCCAACGAAAGCGCCCCAGCCCCGCGTTTGACCGGGGAGCCCTTGGCGGGGTCTGCGGAGGCCGAATCCCTTCGCCCTCGGACCCAGCTCGGCCTTGCGAGAAAACTTGGTGCAGATGAGGCGCCGTTTTGCACCCCTGATTCCTGCCTCTCAAGCTGGAAAGGAGGCATTCAAAACACAATTAAGTAGAGATGTTGGCATTATTATTATTGTTGTTGTTGTTGTTGTTCTATTTAGGATATGATTCTTATCCAGCTGCATCCCTCCTCCTCCTCCTCCTCCTCCTCCTCCTCTCTCCGGGCGCCTCGTCCCCGCCCTCTTCTTTATGTCGAAGTCGTTCCAGGGATATATTCATTTTTCCCCCCCAAACTACAATAAATACAATTGAAACGTTTATAATGAGAAAGTCGCCCCCGCCTCGTCCCTTCCCCGCACTCCATTCCTCAGGCTGTTTCTAAAAGCATCTTGGCATTAAGTGCTCTTAATGGACGCGTTAATTAAACTGTAATTAATCATACTGTCCGGCCCCAAATTTGAGCAATTACCCTAATCAAACAGAAGTTAATAACGGCCCAGGCTGGCGCCCTCGGGCGAGCACTTTTGCGGCGCGGCCGCTCCGGCAGCCAACAGCGTCCGCCTTTCGCCCCGGCATCTGGGCTCCCCATTCCGGCGCTTTGTTCTGAAAGGGAAAGTGGCTGCTTGGGAGTTGGATTTAGCAGGGCGCGCGGTTTGTCCTTGAGAAGCAGATACGGGGGGATAAGACGGGGGGAGGGCTGGGGGGGGGCAGGGAGGATGTTTAAAAGCAGTATTATTGTTTAGGTTATTGCTATCGTTTTATTTTTGGGGAGGACGGCAGGATTCGTTAAAAGCTGAGAGGAGGACGGCGGTTCGAAGGGCAACGGGGTGCTGTGTTTCGTGTGTGTGTGTGTTGTTTGGGGGGGCCTTGACAATTAAAGGAGTTTTCCTTGCTTTTGTGCAACTTGAACCGATTATTCCAGGAGGCTCTGGGCGGAGAACAGCCGCGACCCTCGAGTTGGGTGATGCTTATGGGTGCCAGGAATTTCCCCCGTCCGCCCCTTAACCCAAAATCTCCCTTCAGCGACCTCCGGCACGGGAAAAGGGGAGCTGGAATAATCCTGCCCGTGGCAGCTCTGTGTAACCCGGCCTGGCTTCCCGAACCGCGCTCTCCTTTCCGGGAAGCGGATAGCTCCCCATAATTACAATGCGATTTGGTAATTATTCCTCGGCTTTTAATTATTTAAAGCAGACACATTGAATCCTGCCTTGTGACCAATAAATGTGGCAAGTCCGGACGGTCAGAAAGCGGCCCCTCCTCTTCCTTGGCCTTTAATTAGACTTTGCCCTGGTAATCGGAGCCGCGGCCGGGCCTCTCCTTCCTTCGGCTCCCGCAAACCTGGCCCTCCTCTTCCCCCCCCCCCCCCCGCCCCCCCCCCCCCCACAAACAAATGCGTGGTTAAATATTTAATAGCCGCTATTACCGCATTAAACGTTTGTGGCGGCCTGCAGCCCAGCCAAGCATCTTTCACGGCTAATCCTCTGCCTAAGATCCGAGCGCAAAAGCCGGCAG